GAGCAAGGTGGCAGAGGCCCAGAGACTGGCTCCCTAGCACCCAGCACTGACAAACTGCATAGGCAGGGACAAAACCTACCAGCTTTCCTGTGGAGGAAAATGGGGATGGGCAGAGGAAACCGCAAGGAAGGGTTCACTTCTCCTGAGACTCCCACCCACTCCAAGCCTGGTCAAGGAAGGGTTCACTTCTCCTGAGACTCCCACCCCCTCCAAGCCTGGTCAATTACCTGTACTCCTATTCTGCCTTACTCCAGTGTTTCCCAGAAAGCTGAGGGGGAAGTGGGTGAAGGCACTCTGCCTCAGGTGAGGTGACAGCTGGTGACTGAACTGGACAGGGAACCAGAACTGGGATAAGCTGGGTCACCAGTTCTAACCTAAGACCTGAGGAAACAGAACCAGGGCCACATTCAATTAGGCAAATTCCAGGGTTCTTTGAAATATTCACTGAAAATACATATTATGAAAGAAATACATAAGGATTAGAAATTTTTTTATACTACATTAAATAGATACTTTAAACAATAATTTATGGTAGAGTAAGTGCACTTTCTGAAGAGAGACAGAATGATAGAAAGTGAGAAAGCACCCCAAGGAGTATGATCATGTCATGATCTCTTCAAGATTTTGGACACACACATGCACACACAACTGGCTTTTTTTTTCTTTTTGAGATTTAAAGACTTTATTTACCTTTTTTCTTATTTTTGCATTTAATCAGTATACATCTTTACAGCATACATAATGAATTTTTCCATCATGTATACATTGTATATTAGTCCAGTCAAAGATGTTGCCTTAGACATTATCATCACCAGATAGTTTTCCATTTTTGTGTTCATTCAATTACTTTGCCTCTTCTTTTTTCACCCCTTGATTCTGTCCCTTGCACTCCACTCCCGTATTGTCCACCCTCCTCCCACACAGTCTCTGCTATCTACAGTTCCTCTCCATGCCTTTACACCTTCTAGTCTTTCAGTTGCCATCATAGAATGCAGACATTTGGTATATATTAAGCAGGGACTTTCAATATTTCTTTTTCACAATCTGGCTTGCTTAATTAGCATTACATTTTTGTTATCTGCCTCCTTTTGATCAAATGCCAGGATCTCATTGTTTTCTTTATGGATGAGTAGTATTCTGTAGTGTATATGTGCCACACTTTCTCAATCCAATCCTCTGTCCTGACACTTTTGGATTGATCTTGATCTGGTTTTTAAGCCACCAGGTCCAAGACTTGAACCTCATAGTTGATTATATGGGGTCTGGCCACCTTAACCTCCACGCCACCTGATTGGCCTAATAAATGCATATTTGAATTCAGTTTTCCATGGACGTTTTTAAAGTCCCTTCATACAGGTGATTTTTTGAACCAAACAGGGTTAGGAGCCTCAACCTGCACAGCTAAAAACCCATGTGTAACTTTTGACTCCCCCACAAAAGTAGCTACTATTGGCCAAAAGCTTTACTCATAACCACAGATGACTAATATATTTTATGTGTGTATTATACACTGTATTTTTTACTATAAAGTAATTTGGTTGGCCAGTCCCGTAGCCTGGTGGTTAAGGGAACTGGATGGACTGCAGTTCAGATTTTGGCCTGGAGGCTTAAGCAATGTGCTGGCACATCTGTGTGTGGGCCATGGCCTTGACTGGATGGAGAGATGGAGGAAACAGGATGGGGACATGACCACTTCCTACTGGGGAGTGTTTTCTTCCTTTCCCCCCTCTCCTCATTATCTGGACATTAAGAAAGAAAAGTAAGCCAGAGAAAATATTAATAAAATAAGAAGAAAAATAGAAGTATAGTATTTATTTAAAAACTTCAGTTCAGGACCCACATGCTTCAATCCCACATTGTTCAGGGTCAACTGTACTGAGCATATGTGAAGTGTCATTGACAAGGGTGTAGTTTGACATGAATATAGCCAAGTCTTGTTCTTGGAGGGCATGCAATATGGTAAGAGTCTGGCACAAAGAAGGACCAGCAGTTGGTGTAATGGCTATGTTGCTGGACTCCCATGTAGTCAACTGCGGTTCAAGTCCCAGACCTGGTGGCTTAAACTCACGCCAAGCGCATGTGCATGTGTGCCCAAGATCCCAAGAGGAGAATGGAGAACAAGGGATTGTGGTGTGGACATCCCCCCTGGGGGGTGATTTCTCATGTTCTGTCTCTCTGTATATCTTTGTCTTTCTGGCAAGCCCACGTGGTTTATAGCAAAAACCTCTCCAGAAACAAACAAAAGAGTCTAGCACAAAGATTCATGGTGCTTTATTCAGGTTAGAAGCCTGGCATCAAGAATTAGTCAGATCTAGACTTTGTTCACAGGGAGGCCACTGTTTAACTGTGTGACTTGGGCTGGTAGCTTCCCTTCTCTCAGCCTGTCTTCTCATCCTAAAAATAGGAACAGTAAAGGAACCTATCTCATAAAGTGACTGAAAACTCACTGATATAATGATGTGAAAGCATACAGTGAAGGAATGGTAAGGAAAGCCCAGAAACAAGAATGCTGCTGTCTGTGCCAGGTTGATGGGGCTTTTGCAGTGACTCCAAAACAGTGGAGAAACACATACAAGTATCTAGTGTCTGGAACAAGACCAGAGCATGGGCTTGGGTCATTAGAGCAAGCACGGGTTGCTGAGTAGCACAACTCTGGTACTGGGGCCTAGGTGATGCTCACCAAACACTCAGAGCTGCCATGGAGGTGGGCCTGTGCTCAGATGGCTGGCCCCCATCAAACATTTGTGTGCTCACCCTCCTCTTCCAGCCCGGCTCACATCAGCGTGGGCCACGTGGCTAGTTCTGGATGGGACTGCGTGTAGAAGTGATGTCTGGGGCATGTCAGTGGGAACTAACGTGTCTGCTTCATCTCTTTCTTCCCATGCTGTGGTGACTCCAGTGACCACGAGTGCTAAGGGCCAGGCTACCAGCCTCTCAGATCTTGTAAGAAAAGCAGACAGGGCCAGCCAGTGGAGTGGTAGTTGAGGTGCCTGGGTCCCATAGCCGACTATGCAGTTCAAGTATTGTACCCAGCAGCTTGAGAAACACACCTAGAATGTGTGCATGAGTGTCCTAAATCCTGAGAGAATAGAGAAGGGATCGCAGTGTGGTCGTTCTCCATGGGGGTGGGGGAGAGGGTGATTTCTCGCTCCTCTCCTGCCCCCTCTCTTTCTGGAACGCACATGTGCCACATAGAAGGTTTTTTAAAAAGAAAAGGAAAGGGACCAGCAGATGATGTACTGGTTATATTACTGGATTCCCACATAGTCTGTCATGGTTCAAGTCCTGGAACCAGCGACTTAGAATTCACGCTGGGCATGTGAGCATCTGTGCATAAGATTCCTAGAGGAGAATGAAGGAGAGGAGATTACAGTGTGGTCATCCTCCCTGGGAGATGATCTCTTGATTTCTGTCTCTGTCTTTGAAAGCACCCCCATGCCCTATAGCAAAAATTTCTCTTAAAAAAAAAGAAGAAAGTAGACAGATTGGTATTGTGTTCAGTCAGGGAGATTTTGGGGTTGCACTTGAGGCAGGGGAATGAGAGTGGTTTTCATTTGTGTGTCATGGGGGAGTGAGGGCATAATCCTGTGAGACAACAAAAGCAACCACTTGCGGTGCTGTTAACAAAGGGGAGGGGCTGGGACAGCAGGTGGTGTGAAAATTAAGGTGCCAGATGCACATGGCTGGCAGTACAGTTCGTCCCAGACCCAGTGGCTTGAAAAACACTCTCTGAGTGCACAAAATACTGAGAGGAGAATGGAGGAGAAGGGATTGTGGCATGGCCATCTCCCATGGGGGATGCTTTCTTACTTTCTGTCTCTCTCCACCACTCTCTGATGAGCACAGGCATTGTATAGAAAAATCTTTAAAAAAAAATAATAAGAGGGCATGAGGGAGAGACAGAGCCCACTTTGGAAGCCTAGGGTACCACTAACAGATGTGGGGGTAGCTGGAGAAGGATCTAGATTATGGTCCAGGTCAGGATGCTAACTGTAGTTTTAGAATTTAGGAAGTGGGAAGGCAAAGATATTCTGCTGGCGGGTCTGAGTTTCCAGAGAAAGGTCAGAGCTAGAGAAATACAGGAGAATCATGTGTACTGGGCTGAGTTGAAGATGAGGAAGACCTTTAAGGGAGTGTGTAGACATAGAATATGGGTAGCAGAACCACGTACATTTCTCTAACTAGTAAAAGGGGGCAGAGGGACCAGCCAAGTGGGCAGAAAAAAAACAGAGGAAGGAAATCAGGATGATAGACCTGCAGAGGGCCCAAAGAGACAGCTCAGTGTACCAGATAAGAGTGCAGGCTTTGGAATAAAACTGCTTCAGGTCAAATACCCGCTTGGACCACCTGGTGGCAGTATAGTGAAGGTTGATTCCACATAGCCAACTGTGCAGTTTGAGTCCTGAACCCTGCAGGTTGAAAGACACGTGTGTGTGTGTGTGTGTGTGTGTGTGTGTGTGTGTGCACATGCTCAAAATTCCTAAAGGAGAATGGAGGAGGAGGAATTTTGGAGAGGAAAGGCAGGTGGGACCCAGTTGGTTTGGGAGGAAAGGTGACTTTGGGGGTGTGGGTGAAGGCCAGGCTGGGGATGAGCAGTTCAGACTGGGTCCTCGTAAGACATGCAGATCCCCTCCTGGGATCAGGGTAGGGCCTCTCCATGAAGGAGGGATCTGGGAGGGATGGTGTCTGGAGGACCAGATGAGGGGGTCCTGGAAGGTGATACTCTGGGGACAGAACGTCTGAGCAGAGCTGTGAGAAATCAGCAAAGGGACTGTGAATTGGAGCACATTTGCCCTGCTGTCCATGTTGGGGGTCTGAGGGGCTGGAGGATCCAAGGCTGGGAACACAGAGCAAACTCACAGGTCCCACAGGTAACTAAAAGTTCGCAATGGAGACCATAATCCCCGCACAGAAAGCTGTGCCTGCGCCTAGAGAGTAGGCCCTGCAGCTTTCATTGTGACTCTACCTGTCCTAATTGGTCAAAAGCATTCTGGCCACACCTCTTGCCTTTTATCTTTCTCCGTAGACCAATAGGATTTGAGAATTGAGGCCACGCCCATTCTGTGAGCCTTAAAAACTCCCTGACTTGCCTCTTCTGGCTCAGTCACAGGCCGGCGAGGTAGCGAGCTGAAGTGTTTTCTCAGCGGTTACCAGATAGCGGTCATGTGGTCCCACCCCTTCCCCCAGCCCTGCCTCGAGATGTCAGAGGAAACCCGAAAAAAGAAATTGGCTGCAGCCAAGAAAAAGGTAAAACTGCTGGGCGGATCCTGAGACCCAGCCAGAGGCCCCTCCTATGGCCAGACGGTGGACACAATCTGTGCCATCCCTAGGACATTCAAAGCCAACTCCTGGGTACCCCTTGGCTTCCTGTCCCCAAATCCTCTTAGCCAGCCTCATCCCCTCAGTATTCCTGTTCCTGCTCTTGGTGTACCTGGTTACTTTGGGCTGGTGACTAGAGGGGCTCCTGCTCTGGTCTAGGCCCTGGCCTCCCGCTTCTCCAAACCAGACCACCCCAGGTGCCTAGGGCTCCAGTAGTCTAGAACCTGTGTCCTTGCCCTATGCACTCCTCCCCACCATGGAATGGCTACTCTGGCATGGGTGAGGAGGAGTGGAATGTAGTTATGTCACAATCCCCCTCAGAGCTGTCATCTTCCAAGCCTGGCCTTTCATCTTCTGACCCAATCCTCTAGTGTATACATCCTCTTTTGGGGTTTCTCTGGTTTCTGCACAAATCTCCACCTGGAAAGGAACTGGGGACTATGGGACCTAGCCCTTACTCCCTTAACTAAGACAGTGTGAAAAATCTACATTCATCGCCAACCCCAAACATTGACGTTATCTCTGGTGGCAGTGGGAGGAGGAGTTTGACTTGGTTTGATTTTTCCCCATTTCTACTCTCCAGAGGGACTTTACATTTTCTGCTGAGTTCTCTATCTCACATTCGAATTCCCTGTGATTCTGGGACCAGAGTGCCCTTCACTCTTTAGAGTGAGAGAGAGCCGCTTAGTATTTGCAGAATAGAACTTCACAGCCCGAATTACTTCCAAATTGTCATATCAACCTGGGGTGCTCTGAGCACCACAGGACAAATATGGGGGACGAATTTTCAGTTTTGCTTAATTCTCCAGAGAGAACAAATACTTCAGTGCTGAAATTTGTGTAGGTTTGTAAGATTTTAGAGACTATTCTGGAAGATGCTTGGGGTGTCCCCTTTCTCTTGGATTCCCAGATTCACTAGGAGTGCACCTTCGCTGTCTTCTGCTCTTAGGATACATTGATAGGAAGTTTCCCAGGTATTTGTGCAGCTCTCACAGATGTGTAAGAAAGGACTCCGCAGCCCCTCCCCACCGCCCTGGATTTCTAAACTACACAGTGGACACTTCCTGTTGAATTACGGTGTGCTTTTCCACCTCTACCTTCAGTTTTGCTCTCTAGTAGCTGCTGATTCATGACAAAACCCAGATCTCAGGGTCAGAAGAATAAATTTAAATACATGCTTATTTTAAAAAAAATCATGTTTTCAGTCTATTTGTTCAGTCCTTAAGTGATTATTATGACAATTTGTACGGTTGGTGGGGGCATGAATGAGTACTTTGTAAATGCTGTAGCACGTGAATTTAGAGACTTACAGTTCTCATGAGTTTTACTGATTTCCTTTCCACAGTTGAGAGAATACCAGCAGAAGAACTGCCCTGGTACTCTGGCAGCAGCAAAGATGAAGAAAAAAAGTAAAACTGGGCGTACCCCTAAGGCAATCACCTCTGGTGGTTGTCTCTCTGAGGATGTGAGTCTTGTCTGACCAGGCTTCTGGGTTACGGGGCTTCAGGGGCAGTAGAGGGTGACCATTAAGATTGAGAAGGAAGTGGCTGGTACCCGTGAAGGTTGAATAAATGGGAGCAGTATTGGATTTTTCTTATCCCCAGCCTCCAGAGGAAGCCAGGCCAGTGAACACAGCCACGTGTCATCAGGCCCTCCCTTTAGGAAGCACTGAAAGACCCAGGCTGTGGGGGGAGAGCCCTGGGAGCTAGGATGGAAAGATCTGAGGTTTGAGTTGACTTGTGGCAGGAGCTTTCTGGGTGACCTCAGCAAAATCACTTTCTGGTCCTCACTTTCCTTATCTGAAAGACAACTTTGCTGGATTAGATCAGAGTCTTTGAATCTTATTTTAAAGCCAATGAATGGGGCTGAGTGTCCCTTTGAACAAGGTAGGGTGCACATCAACGGACACAGTCCTCTGAGAGATGCAAAGGAGAATGTGGCAATATTCAAATGCTCAACAAGGCTGGTTCAGGATGGACTCGAGGCTGCAGGAGGCGAGTGGGAAGACTCAGGGTAGGTTACATGCATCCAT